AAGTTCATTGGGAGAGATACAAACGAGATTCCTCACATCCAGACTATGCCAGCCAACTCCTGAAGTGTGTGATCGAATGCAACAGCAAGAAAATCTAGATCTAAAGAACAGTGTTAAAAAAATCCTAAGAATACTCTTAACAGATTGATTTTACACTCGTAATTTATAAAAACAAATATTTACATGACTGGGGCTTAAAGAAGACAAAATTCATCTTATCATTAAGCCCCCCCCCCCAAAAAAAAAATGCATATTCATCAAATAAAATATTTTAACAAAATGTAAAAAATAAAATATATAACGTTTAAAATATTTAGTTATTCAAAGAGTATTTATATTTAAGAACTGATTAGTAAAATAAGATGATATATAAGCATTAATATTACAAAAAGAATTTACAACAACTTTTTTTAATAAAAATTGAAATTATAAAATTTTACAATATTTTTAGTAATTAGTATTTCAAATAATAAAACATAAAAAATCGTTTGTAAATTCAAAACTTATAAGATAAGAAATACATTTACAATAGCAGACTATTGTTTAGAATATTAAATATAATATTAAAGAGTAATTAGTAGGTTAATTTTTGTTTTTGTTTGCTAGTTTAAAAAGCTTTTTAGAAGAACTTTAATTCATTTTCATGTATCATCAGTAATTGCTTAAGTTTTGTTTTAAACTGGTTTAAAGAATAATTAGATTTCAGCTCATTATTTAATATTGAATTCCACAGCTTAGGACCTCGATTTGCAATTGAGAATTTGGTTGCTGAATAATGTGTTTTGGATTGAATGTAATTGTTTTTTGAAAATATGGTAGGGTATATGTGGTTTATTTTTCAAAAAGTGAATTAAATAACATTGGTGATATTTTTTTATCAAGTTTAAACATGAAGATAAGAATATGGTAAAGGTTTAGTTTATATACATTTAGAATATTAAGTTTATTAAATAATGTTTTAGTGTGAGAGAAACGGTCTACGTTTATAATTATCCTTATAGCCTGTTTTTGTTTACTAAACAGTTTTTTTACTTTTGTTGCGTTTGTGCTGCACCAAGCAACGTTTGCATAATTTAAGTAGCAATGAATTAAAGAAAAATATAAGTTTTTTAAACAAGATAGATTTAAAAACTGCTTGGCTTTATACAAAACACCTATATTTTTTGATATTTTATTTTCAATTAGACCTATGTGGTCCCTCCAGGTTAAATTTTTATCCAGAACCACACCTAAAAACTTTATTGATTGCTCTCTTTTTAATAATGCGTTATCAATAAAAAGATCAGGAAGTTTTAATGGAATATCTTGTTTTTTATGAAGACGATGGAACAAAGTGTATTTGGATTTATTGATGTTCAAAGATAGTTTGTTTGATTTGAACCATTGGGTTAATTTTTCAAGTTCTTTGTTTACTGTTTGAAATAATTTACTGATATCTTTACTAGAATAAAACAAGTTTGTATCATCTGCAAACAAAATTAAGTTTAAAATGTTAGAAAATTTATATAAGTCATTAATATAAACGAGAAATAAAAGTGGTCCTAAAATTGATCCTTGAGGAACACCACAGGTGATTGACTTATATTCCGTTTTTCCGCTATCATATGAAATAAACTGCTTTCTATTAGTCAAGTAACTATCAAACCAGGACAAATTAGTATTTATTATACCATAACTTTTCAGTTTGGATAGAAGGATTTGATGATTGACAGTGTCAAAAGCTTTACTTAAATCGATAAATACACCTAGGGTATACTTGTCTTCATCAAACCCTTTAAATACATCATGAACAAGGTGAGTGATTGCATGATCAGTAGAATGACCAGATTTAAATCCAAACTGTTTATGATAAAGAATATTATTAACATTTAAAAAGTAATATAGTCTATTATACATAACCCGCTCTAATATTTTAGAAAAACAAGAAAGAATTGAGATTGGTCTATAATTCGTAACATCGGAAGGATCACCTGATTTTAACACTGGAATTACTTTTGCAATTTTAGGTTATCTGGAAAAACGCCTTGTTTTAGAGATAAATTAAAAATATGTAGTAATGGAATTGTAATTTGTTTTATTGATTTGATAATGACATTACTAAATTTTATTTTGTTTATTTTAGTGCCTTTATTTTGTTCCAGATGATTCGTCTCTAGAGAGCATTATAATTTTTAATTGAATTATAGAAATTGTTGTTTATCTTCTAAATGCGATCATTAAGAAAATAAATGAATAAAATAAAAAAGCTCCCAATTTATGTTTTTAACATTTTTTGTTTTATGATAAAAAATCAGAAATGTATTTTTGTACTACAAATAGGCTGCCAAATGTTGCTTAAAATTCTTATTTTCTTCAAAACTTCAAGGTAAAAAATCTCCATTTGATGTTAATGCAGGATTTCAAAATCACTCTGTATGGCCATCCATTGTTATGTACTATCCCCCCTTAAAAGGGTTTTCATAGAGTATTTCATTGATATTAGGGTCCCAAATTTACAAACCGTGAAGCAATTTGACTTTAAAAATCATTAGTTGAAATCATTCAACTAATCACTCATTGACCGAGTTAGTAACTCGTGTAACCAATGCCTTTAAAGATGACCGTTTTACATTAGGAGTCTTTATTAATCTGTCTAAAGCCTTTGACACAGTCAACCATGTCATTCTTTTTTAAAAAATTTGAACATTATGGAATAAAAAACAATAATTTACTTCGGTTTAAAGATTACTTATCAAACAGACAGCAATACATTCAATATAAAAATGTCAAAACGACAAAAAGTATAATAAAATGTGGAGTTCCTCAAGGCTCAATCTTAGGACGGTTACTGTTTTCTCTTTATATAGATGATCTATCTCTTACCTCGAACATATTAAATTTTATTTTGTTTGCGGATGACTCCAATATGCTTTATTCTCATAGGGATATTAAAACCCTCTTTAAAGTAGTTAATGAAGGAGTAAACAAAGTAAACGAATGGTTTATTTGTAATAAACTTTCACTTAACGTTAACATAACTAAGTTTATTCTATTTTACAAACCAACTAAAACAGGAAACCTTCCTTTAAAATTACCCAATCTAAAAATCAATAATATAAATATTACTAAACAAACAACTGTAAACTTTTTAGGTGTTATTTTAGACGAAAATTTAACATATAAGCACTCTTGAAAGAAAACTTTCAATAAAGATTGCAATGATGTATAAAGCAAAACCATTTTTGGATATAAAATCTTTAACAAGTTTATATTTTTCCTTAATACATCTAACTTACGGCAATATCGAATGGGCAAGCACCAGCTACGCTAAACTAAAGAAAATTTATACTAAACAAAAACATGCATGTAGAATTATATTTGGAGTAAAAAGAATCGTGCCTTGTGAGCCACTTCTACGTAAATTCAATGCATTAAATGTGTATGAAATCAACATATTCCTTGTCATACAGTTCTTGTATCAAATAAAAAATGGACTGTCTCCAACAATATTCTATCCTTATTGTAAAGAAATAAGCTATAAATACCTCACCAAGTTCTCAGAAAATAACTTTGTAACTCAAAAATATAATCTAAAGTTATGTTCTAATTCTATTCAGTACCTGGGACCAATTTTCAGCTTATTGTTAATATTAAAGAAAAAACATTTTCCGCTATTCAAATCTAAATTAAGACATTATTTATTACTTACAGATTTTAATATAGCAGATTTTCCCTGTCACTTTTAAAATTTATTAAACTAAATTAGCACCATAAATTTAAAAATCTAGAGCATTTAACAATATTAAGAATTTCAGTGTCTATATCATACTTTCATTGAAAAGTATACTCTTGAAGTTGCCTACAATTTTCTTGATATATTTTATGATATTGGAACAGAAATTTTATTTGAATTTTGAATTATTTTGAAAGAAAATAATGTATACAATATATATATTGAATCACGTTTAGTTTATAACCAAAAACAGAAAATTTTTCTCATTTTTATTACTATATTTTAATCATTTCTTTTTTTAATCATTTTTTTTTTTTTAAACTCATAACATCTTAAAATTGTCTTTTTTTAAATGCTGTTACTTATTATATGTTATATTACGGATTATTATATTTTGCGGATATTTATTTGCGTTACTATTGGGGCTCGGTGATAAGGCTAATTTATGCCTTCTTTCTGCTCGAGCTAATTGTACTTTTTATATTGTTGTACTAATTCAACGGCGAAATAAACTAATAAAATAAACTAATATATAAATAATTTTTTTGATTTTTTATACTTTACGAATTTGAGATTTGAAAATTCTAAATTGTTTTGAAACATCATATATTTATTATTAGCTTAATTTAATTTTATATAGAGTGCCGTAAGTCTTTTTATTAAGGAGACGTCACCCTCCCCAATAATGCCTTAGCGTCTTGATGGCAAGATTTGAATTTTAAATCTTTGGATCTAAGGTCCATATGCCCAATAGTCTACGCTACGGTTGTTAGGGGTAGTATTTTTATGTTAGCATTTTACACAATCTGCTTGGGCTAACAGTTTATAATAATAGAAAAAGTTTTATAATTACTAAAACCTATCATATCTCTATTGATCTGATTTATTTTGGTTAAGTATAACAATCATGCTGTCAATATAGTTTAGCAAATACAGCTTGAATTGAGGCAAACCCGGATAGCATTGTAAATAATGCTTAATATTTTAGCGATATTTAGTTGATATTTAAACAAATATTTTATTTTCCGTGAAATTGAGTATCTTGTTTTTATGCTTGAAATAACTTTTCTAAAAGTGGTTTACGATATTGTCAACAAAATCAAAACAATTTTGTTTAATAATAATGTAAACAGTTTTGTTGATACTGTATTAGCAGCGACGGATCAAGGGGGGGGGGGTCACTGTTTATTTGCAGGAAAATTAAGTTGATGTTGCTGATTATTTTCTATTCATTTCGCAATACTTACTACGCATTTATTGATAAACATAAAGTAAAATAAAAGTCATATTACCTTCAATCCAATTTTATTTATGTAATATTATACACATTTAATTGTTTACCTCTATTGTTTATTTTAATTAAAATATTTGGTGTTTACCTAAGCTTATAGTTATTTGTTTAAACTCTTAAGCAATCTTTTTATTGAATTGACGTTTCTTTGCCATCATATTTTTTTCTAGGTATAATAAGACTTCCTCTGACCTTAAAGGACAACTCACTTACTTGTTTCGGTTTGCAGAAACATACAGAAAGTTTGTAGAGTTCTTTTCTGTACTCTTCCCCCATGTAAAACAATACCAAAGGGTTTGTTATAATTTGTAAATAAAACAGCCTAAGAAGAACAGTCCACATGGGTCTAGCTATTGACTTTGAAACCCATTTCAAATCAATTGCTATATAAAATAATTGAAGGGGTAACGTAGTTAATCCAAAGAACACATACATTGTCCAAATAACACGATCTAACTTTCTGGAACTGCGTTTTCTACATTTAAGCGTTTCTTTTGGCATATGATCTTTTAAAAACTTAATAGTTTTAAAAACTGTTCGGTGTATTTTGTAGTAAGCAAAGCCAGAACTCAGCATTGGTATTATATACGTAAGCAAGTAAACAAAAAGCCTGTAAACAAGCTTTCTATTTTCAGATAAGTATTTTAGTCTACAAGCGTTCTTTTCTAATGTAAATTTAGCAAATATGCCCATCAACCCAACAGATATGATCACAAATGCAACAATCCATATAAAGATAACAATTGCAATTGCGTGGTATAGAAGCAAATCACGTGATCTATTTGCATTTGAAACAACATAATATCGAGCTAAACTCAGCGCAGCATGAGTCAATACACAAACTCCAGCAAAGTGTTCTAACAAAGGAAGTAGAATTGTACATTCAAGCTCATTAACTTTCCAAATTCCCAACTCACGAGCTGTTGTCAGTGGCAACACAAACATGGATATTGCTAAATCTGCAACTGCCAAGTTAAAGACAAAGGTATTTGTGATCGTTTGCATTTTTTTTTTTTGTGATATTAAAAGAACAGTGAAAAGGTTACCGACGATGCCGCCAATGACCAAAAAAGTGTTCAATGCAACGAGCATTATATCTTTAAAATTCATTTCATACTTTAAATGTCTAAAATAAATTAAATCTTACATTATTATCTTATTATTTTTTTTTTACTATTCTAATTTATAGTGTTTTTATCTCTATTAAAAACTAAATTGTGGTTGTTTATAAGCAAATTTCAAATATTAATAAAATAATAAATACTCAAATGTTTATAAATTTTTAATTTAAATTATTGATAAAATAAACTCTTCAAGCCATTTATGAACTTTATGACTTTTAAAGTTCATGACTTTTCTAGTTTCTCAGTAATTGTGTAATAATTAATATAATTTCTTAATAATTATTGTAATTTAATAATTAAAAGAATATTGGATTCATGAAAAAAAAATAATAATAATAAAAGAAAGAAAAAGTTGTTGAGATAAGATTGTTGCTTATGCTAACTAAATTATCAAATATTCGCACTAACTAAACCACCAAATAGCGGTTAAAGAAGCATCAATATTTGACAAGGTTTAATTTTATTTTAAAGTTTTGTACTAATTGCGACAGTTAAGTAAGGTACAAGAAATTATGTCGACAAATATAAAAAAAAAATTTAATCAAACTTTTTTTAAACTATTTGTACTAACTATATAAAAAATAAATATCTTGATGATAACTAATAACTTGTTATAAGAGATTTTAAAGAAAATATTATATATATATATTTTAAATAAAGTATTATATATATATATATATATATATATATATATATATATATATATATATATATATATATATATATATATATATATATATATATATATATATATATATATATATATATATATATATATATATTCATACATACATATATATTCATACTTCATAAATACACAAACATATATTATCTAAATTGTAAATATAAAATTTTTTTGTGCTTTAAAAAGTCTAATCTCTTTTTTTCCTCTTTTTTCTTTTTCTTTTTCTTCTTTTATATATTATCAATTTAAGTATTGTAGTTTTTGAGTATAAATAAAGAAATAATAGATAAGAGTCTAAATCTGGATTAGACAAAAATATTAATTGAACATTTCTTTGCATATGGCATTGTATTTATATATCCTCATTTCAATATTTGCAAATATAAAATACACTCGTAAAACGTCGGTAGTTGCATACATACGCTTTCTTGAGATTAAATATTTGAAAATGGATAATACAACTTCCGAATCAAAAGTTTGCAGAATTTCAGTTATTTAAATATTTCATTATAAAAATAAAAAATGTTGAATCGCTAAGGAAGAGTTTCTTTAATAAAAAAACAAAATGGCTGTGCAACATTCTCGATTCAAAAAAGTAAAAAATTCTTTTTTAATAAAATTTATAAATAAATATGCCTATTGTATTTTATAAATCTAAAGCCAAATAAAATACTTAACTTTAATCACTTACCATAATAACATTTTGATTTGGATTTACGCTGTATTACTTTGCTATATTACAAGGCAATGTCATAGTAAAACTCATAAAATTATTCGCGGTTCTAGGTCCAGGCTTTTGCATCTTAAATTTTTTTTTTTCAAGTTTTCAAAAGACACGGATGATTTGCATCACCGTTTTAAAGATAACAACAGTTGTTATTTATGAAACAAACGTAAAACTGATAGATCACTCGACATACCAAAACATTTCGGGGATTTGATTATTTCTCGTGCACAGAAAATAAAAACGTTAGAAAAAAGAATAATCTGAAACGTTAAAATGTAATTAAAAAATTCCAAAAGATTAGATTAAGCTTAAAAAAGCAAAGATTTAATTTAAAATTAAAACTCGTTTTTTCTTAAATGCGTCATATAAACAGCAACATAAAAACCCCCGTATCCTCTTTAAAACAACTTTTATCTAATATGCAAATTTCTAGTCAAACAAGTTTATGATTTCATAAAATACTAAGTGTGAGATATTATTAACAGTCAAATGAAATCCGATAAGTTTCACCTACTTTTTCAGGATTCGTCAATGGTTCCTGGGCATCTATACAATCTTCGACCAATATTAAGCATAATTGATTAAATAAAACTATAATTCAAATACTATTAAGCTTGAAATTTATTTAAGTATATAAGTTCTTAAAAAACGTTTATTTAAAATATTATTTTATATGTTTTCATATTTCGAAAAAAATTTATGAAAACTGCTAAATCAGTAATTAGGTGTAACTTGTTTTCAACCAGTAATTCTACTTAGCTTCAATAAGTATTCATCAGCTCGTTTGCTTCAAACAATAGTTATATGGTTCTTGGCTCCAACCAGTAGTCAAATGGTTCTTGGTTTCAACCAGTAAATGTATGTTACTTGGCTTATTTAAATGTGTGCTGCTTAGCTTAGCTAAAAGCCTAGCACTTGAAGATAAGTGTCATACATGCAAAATATTTTAAATAACGTTTAAAAAAAAAGTATAAATCTGATAAAACTATTAAAAATTTCAAATAAGCGAAGTTAGCTAATGCTCTTATATTAATATACAAAGTTACAAAATGATTTTATATTATACAAAATAAGTTAAAATGATTTTATATTAATTTAACAACGAAAATAAATGAAACTATACCACTTGAAAAAACATTAAATAGTAAAAATTAAATAAACTTTATAAAATTTTGTAAACTGAAATTAAAAAAGATTAGGATGATTTTATTAACAAAAAGTTAAAAAAAACAACAAAACTTCACATAAAGTTTAAACATTAATATTGAAAACAAAATCTCTCATAATATATACATGATTTTTGTTCAAAAATCAGAATATTAATTTAAAAATAAATATATATTCCCTTTCCATTGGACACGGACGTAAAAAAGACGTCTTTTAAACGTCTTATACACGTTTTACACGTCTTTTGAACGTCTTTTGAACGTCTTTTGAACGTTTTGGACGTCTTTTGAACGTTCAAAAGTTAATATTAAGATTGCTTTTAAAACCCACTGGGTTTTAAAAGCAATCTTAATATTAACTAATCAATTTCAACTCAATTTAAACATTTTTTCAAATTAATTCAGTAAGAAATAACAAAACAAAACTTTATTACAGTAATAAATAATAAAATAAAAATTTATTTCAAATTTTATTTCATTAATAAATAACAAAACAAAACTTTATTTCAAATTTTATTTCATTAATAAATAACAAAATAAAACTTTATTTCAGTAATAAATAGCAAAAAAGAACTTTATTTCAAACTTTATTTCAAAAATAAATAACAAAAGAAAAAAAGAAAGCAAGTTAAAGTTTAAAAGAATAAAAAAATTCGAAAAAAAATCTGCAAAAATCTTCATCGCTCAAAACACCACGATAATATCGTTCACCAACACGATAATAATAAAAATACAAGAGAAGACCATTAATGATAATATAATAACACCAAGTAAAGATAATAACACAATAAAACCAAATAAAGAAAAAAACGTAGTAATACTAAGTGTACGCTAGTTATAATAGAAAGCAACAAAACATTGCTAAAAACAATCTATTATCAATAAATAATTCCTTTGTCAAGAGTAATTTTTTTTTAATATCATATCCAAGCATTGTCATTATTTCAAAACTTTATCAATGTGGTGTCTAGTGTAAATATTAGTCATATTTTTTTTATTTTTCGTGCAGAAATAAAAAAAAAGGAAATGCGCAATCTTAATATATAGAAACCATTTTCCTTGATATTTTTGTTTTCAATTTTACTTTTAATTTACTATTATGATAAAAATAGGCAAGGTAGTAATAAATAGTTTATGAGTTTTATGATGAAGTTATTTTAAGGAAGTGAGCAGGTTACAGTTTTTTTTATTTATTTGTTTAAATATAAAGTTCTATTATTTATCGTTTAAATAACGCTTGATTCGAACAAAAAACAAACAAACACAAAAAAACGAAAAAAAAATTAATAATAATAGTTATGTGGAACCATTTGTATTATTAGTTTATGGTTTGTGAGTGCGGACCGAAAAAAAAGAAGGGAAAAAACAAAGCTTCTTAAAAATGAGCATTTATTTTAATTATTATTATGTGTCTAAAATTAAAGCTTTTTAAGCACATCAAATGCTGTTTACATACCAAAAGATCTCTTTTCTAATTACTTTGAGCTCGTTGATTTACCACACCTCAAAACGGACCAAATACTGCTAATACCAACTATCCTATAAAGTTACATATAAGATTGTATCTATAACTAATTTTATCTAATATTAGAAAATGTTATTGTATATTAAAATTAAATAGTTATTTTATGTTAGTATATAACTATATTTTAAAAACACCAACAAGTATTTATTGAAAGTGGTTTTAAAATCCTATATTTACTGAGCCTGAGATTAATTTAGATTATTATATTTTAAATAATTCTAGAAGAACACACAAAAAAAAAACATATAAATATTTTACAATAAAAGTATGATTAGATTTGGATCTAGATAAGGCATCAAAGTTTGCTTTTGAGAAAATTAAGTATAGCATAGATAGTATTCTTAGAGTGTCAACCTTTTTTCATCAAACAACCCTTTTTTGGAAGTAAGGTTTGTCGACTTAAGATTCATTTTGCATAAGACCCTTTTTGCTTTTTGGAAACTACCAAAAACGAAGAATTTTTAAAAGTTGTTACTTTGTACTTACACTTAAAGTACTTTACTATTTCTATTTTGTTATCTCGTTTAAAGATGTGACATTTTGTGATACTTTGAAAAATAAAATAAAAAGAATAAAAAATCGGAAATTTTTGGTTAAAATTAGTTATATAATAGTTTTTTTTAAAACATTAGTTATATAATAGCTATTTTAAAACATAACATGGTTCATTTCGTGCTATATAAGCTGCACCAAAGAACCAAATGCCTTGCACGTTATAACTGTCTTACCCATATTTTTTCTCGTCTTTATACTCCATGAACACGCTAAAAATCTTTGAGCAAATTTATAAACTTAAATTAATTTTCTTGTATAGTTTTATTATATTAAAGGAACCTAACGGTAAACAGCAACTGCTGACAGGACCGTCCCAAAAGGGGGTGTTGGAGTGTCCCCCCTCCAAAAAAAAGATGTTATATAATCATTTGAGTTGGCATATTGAGCAAGTTTTGAACTATAGTTGGTAAATTGCAAATATTTAGGACTTTTTTTTTTTTTTTAACTTTTTGTGTTTCTAGTTGGAAAAAAAATGCATATGTTCTCAAAGTATGGTGCAGATTCAAAAAGGCAGTCTAAGGTTCTCAAATACTCAAATAAGAAACTTGAATTATTTTGCAAATAACTTTAACTAGTAAAGTGGAACCAAGCTTTCAGCCAAACTTAGTTAAAATTAATAAAAGCTAATTAGCTAACTTGAAGTAACATAATTAATGCCAATAATTAATTCGAAGTAGCATAATCAAAAATTTATAGATAAGTAGCATATATATTATAGATATCATTATAGATAAGTAGCAAACATTTATAGATAAGTCATTTATAGATAAGTATAGATGTGTGTAGATTATATCTAAAAATGTCTTTACACTTATTTCAACTGACAAGATAAATAAGACAAAATTTTTTGTTTTTTTCAAAAGACTGACAAACTAATGGCTTTCTCGGAATTTAAATTCTCCAGTGCCAAACAACAAATATATTTTTTTTTGATAAAAATATTTTGTCAACACTTTGCTATCACTATAGTACGTTTCAAATCTCTGACCGGAGTAAGAAACAAAACAAATATAAAAAAATCAAATTCTTTGGTTCATAAAATAAAAAAAACAATATAAGACTTAAAAAGTTATGAAAATATTAACGTAAAAAGTATTTTTTTTTTTTTTTTTTTAGTTTATATATATTTGCTGTTTATATAATAAAAAAATATAATTACAAAGAAACATTTACATACAAAAAAAATTGATTTATAAAGACAGGCAGCGGCTCAAAGAAGATACGGATGACTAAAGTCACTACAATCTTTTTATAGAGCCCCTATGTGGGCTTTACAAGTTTAAAATAGGATAAGATTGCTAAAAATACAATTGTACAATTTCAATATAATAAAAAGATTAAAAGAAAAACTTTCATAAATATATACATTTAAAAGTAATAAATATTTACATTTAAAAGTAATAAGTATTTACATTTAAAAGTAATACATGCATTTATTACTTTCATTTCATTTCAGTTTATTTCATAGATGTATGAGATAAACTGAAATTAACAAATCTAAGTATCTTGCAATTAGGGTTGGAGTACTTTTTTATTCAAAAACAAATACAAGTACGTTTTCATCAAATAGAAGTTCGAATACAAGTACGTTTTCAACAAATACAAATAAAATTACAAAATCGTTAATATTTTGTTAAGATATACAAATACATTTGCAAATATATATATATATATGTAATCAAAATTTTCCAAATACAAACAAAAATACAAATATTTGCATTTTAGGTTTAGATAAAAAAAAAAAGATTTTTCGATACAATACTGATGAAATACTTAATAGAAGAATGACAACGAGTTTTTTAAAAAATGTTCCTATAAAAGCAAATTTTTTACTTGATTAGTGTTAGATACGGAAAAGCACAACAACAAATATCTTGGTTTTTCCCGAAAAAACATTGGTCAATTTAGTTTATGGATTTACAAATACATTCCAATTAAATATAAATAAAAATACAAATATTTAAGAAATTTTTAATTAAATACAATACGAATACAAATAGAAATACGTATTTGACCCCTTGCACAATGGGAAATCACATGGCCAAAAACCAAAAAAGTGTCTTATGTTCAATCATTATGTATGATAGTGGGTTTTGTTACTAATACCCTCACTAAGAATTTTCCAATTTATGAAATTCTAAATGTGACAGGTTCAATGGTAGTAGCTTCTTGATGTTAGGTTTTTAATGAATTTTCGATAAAAACTCTTAAGGTGCTGGATTTTATTAACTACTACTTTTTTAATATACAGATCAAAAATTGAGAATATACACATGATTGAAAAGGTTACAGTATAGACTGTTAAAAACAAAAAATAAAAAAATTCTTGAAAAAGTTGGTACTACAACTTTTAGCATTGAAAGTAAAATTCCGTCGCAAAAACACTAAATTTTAACTTTAATGAAGAATTAAAAAATTGTTCCAACTCGTACCTTTATTTTGATATTTTTTAGTGTATAGTGTCTACTAACTACCCTGAGAAGTGTAGCTGCAATCATCCGCGATCTTGAGCGCTAAATAATTTTGAAAAATTGATGTTTTTTTAAACAAATTAAAAACTTCTTTGAATAATTTTTTTTTTTCATTTATTACAAAAAATAAAAAAAAAAAAACTACTTTAAGGAATGAAAGACCAAAGTATATTTGTTTTCGTGTTTTTATTGAAAGGAAAAAAGTTATTTTTTATTTTAAATTCATGAGTTTATGGTTTTATAATACATAATTAATTTAAGAAAAAATAATTCTTTAGTGCATTTTTAGGGTAAAATGCAAGAAGCGAACTTGAGTCAAGCTCTACTTGAACTTTACATTACAACCAATAGCGACATAGTATGGGTTTTCCCCTCAAAAAAAAACTCTGCCGCTATTGGTTACAAAGTAAAGTTAAGTCGAACTTGACTCAAGTTTGCTTCTTGCATTCCACCTTTAATGTCCCACTAATCAACCAATAACCTACAGGTTTTGGCAGCCTTATTTACTTGATACACTGATTTTATTCATATCAATATATAAAATTTACAATAAGGTATATAGTATGAAGTATAAGTTTGTACTTTATTGTTTTTCCTCGATACTTATCTCGATACTTATGCGGATTATTTGAAATTTCTGCATCAAGCTTAGCCTTGAAGCTGTTAACTGATGAAGTGCATACAACTTCTGACGGCAATGCATTCCAATGATTCACAAGATTAGTAAAAAACTGGTGCCTTTGCTTGCAATTTTGAACATATTCTCTAATCATTTTTAGATGATGTCCTCGTTTTTATTTTATCTGATTCCCCAACAGGAAGGACATGGGGTTCACTCCATTGGACAATGTCTATATTGTTAATAATTTTATAGGCCTGTATCAGATCTCCCCTAATGCGACAGGTTTCTAAAGACGTTAAAATTAGTATATACAGACGATCTTTGTATGACATATGACGGTACGAAGGTATTAAACGGGTAGCTCTTCTTTGTACTTTTTCGATTTTGTCAATATCTATTCTTGATCATGGATTACTGGCTGCTACCGAAAATTTCAGATGAGGTCGTACAAAGGTTGTTTATAGAATTTTAAGTGTTTAAGTTTGCGGAGTCATGTGACTGAAAGTACGATACAACATGCCTAATACACGGTTAGCTTTATTGGTTGCAAAAGTTGAATTGTAATGCCATTTTAAGTCTGGCGTAATCATGATGCCTAAATCACGTTCAACTAAAGTCGATGGTAGTTCGACACTGTTATTGTCATTAGCTGGCATTGAGTAGACATAAAAGTTTTTTTTTTTACCTGTCTGCATGATTTTACATTTATCGAGATTAAGTTTCATTTTCCAGGTTTTACACCAATCGGCTATGTTGTAGATATCAGTTTGAAGCATTTGTGAAGCTAAGGGTGATCTAAACGGGCCACCAGTTTAGTGTCATCAGCATACATTTTACATGGATGGTTAACAATATTGGATATATCGTTCACAAAAATGATAAAAAGTATTTGACCTAATACGGATCCTTGAGGGACGCCACTAAATACCTCAAGCCACAAGGAAACATAATCGCCCATCACTATTCGTTGAAAACGCTGGTGTAAAAACAATTTTATCCAATTCAGGAGATTTCCAGTAAAACCATATGCCTCAAGTTTGTAAATTAGTCTCTTGTGGGGAACCATACCAAATGCTTTACTGAAATCTATAAAAGCTACGTCTATAGATATCTTGTCAGATAATGCTTTTGACATCATGTCAATCGACTCCAACAAATTAGTCACACAAGCTTTTTTATTGACAAAACCAAATTTTTTGAAATTAAGGCTATGTTCGACTAAATGATTGACCATAGTGTCACGTAACATTTTCTCCATCACTTTACATACAACTGATGTTAAGGATATAGGCCGGTAATTGTAACTTAGGCCGGTAACTTCCGTTTTTAAACAGTGGTGTTACATTAGCTTTTTTCCATACTTCAGGACAACACCCACTATCTAGCGACTTCTGAAAAATTGCGCATAAAGGTATTGAGAAGCTGTCAGAACAGTTCTTCAGTACATATGCGCTTACACCATCCAAACCAACGGTTTTATCAACTGATAAATCGCTCAGCTTGTTTTTAAACAGATCTTGCGTTATTTGCGAGTATTTACAGATGGCTTCAGTTCGTTTTATAAAATATGGCAGTTCATCGTCTTCATTTTTGTTGAAAACACTTTGAAAATGATTGTTCAACCGATTTGCAATTTCTATTGGATTTGTGATAGTGCCGCCATTGATTCCTTTTAAGGCTGTTATTGTAGTTCTAAGATTTTGTTTACTATTAACATACTTGAACAGGATCTTTGGGTTGTGCTTCGATTTTATCGCTAAATCAAGTTCAAACTCACAACGAGCTTTATATATGAGCTTCTCCAATTGAATATTACACGCTTTGTATTCGTTGACTAGTTTAAGATTTTTATATCCACTCGCTCTACATCGAAACCATAGTTTATTTTTAGTTTTTATTTTACTCTTGATGTCGTCATTCATCCATTTACTTCTACGACAAATTCATTTTGATTTAGTCACTGGGACATAAGTTTTGCATGCAGTCTTGTAGTGGTTCAGGAAAATGTTATAACAGTCATCAGTATTGCGTCCATTGAATTCCATCTGCCAGTTGATATTGTTAAAATATTCGGATATCTTTACAAAGTTACTTTTATGATAAATGCGATTTTGAATGTGTTTTCCTACAACTGCAGCGCTTTTAACAACGTAACCCCATTGAAGGACGTGGTGAGATTTCTTCAGAGACGTTAAAGGTGCATGGTGAATAATATCGAGGACCCTATTTTCATTTTCGGCTATAATTAGATCAAGAGTGTTCTTCGATGTAATTTCATCAAGTTGAAAAGTGGGCCTAATAACAAATTGTATCAAAAACGACTCGGCAAGGATGTCAATAAAATTAATTGAAAGGGTATCTGTATTGCTGATAGTTGGTATACTGCTCGAATCCCAGTTAATCACTGGGAAATTAAAGTCTTTTTAGTTTGTAAGTTTATTGTTGTGAACTAAGATAATGGAGGAAATCAATTTAATGTTTATGAAAAGTTGTATTATGTTTTCAGGTTTCAAAAAATACTTTTGAAAATGTAAACAATGGGTTTAAATACTTTGTTACTAGGATTCAAGTCAGAAAAGATAAAACAAATGTATTAAAAAAGAGAAAAACTCTTGCAAAGTATGTTGTACTATAGCATGCATAAAAAAAAATTACTTTGTGTCGTTACAAAGACAGCGTTTAGAATCGTTTTTGCTTTACTCTCAGCCAACCACATTGCAAGAGAAAATGACGAAGAAGCTTCTGCATATTTCTTGGATAACAAACTTTCAAGAAGTATTTATGAAAATTCCCATAAAGAAGCACCATACAGATTTCTATCTTATTGAGTAACTTCCAAAATAAAAAGCAAGTGCTCACCTTTAAAAACATCCATTGAAGTTACTGAAACAAAAGCCAAATTTAAACTACAGGATCTTAGGGATCACACATCCAAGTGGCTTGCGAAACTACAGGAAAAGAAAATTTTAAATCATTGGGTTGTAAACTTAATATGATCATAACTTACAGAAAATAAAAGATTATTTGATGAAAGTTAAAATCTGTCATCGAATTAAAGTTTAGTATAACATAGCAGCTAAAATCTTTTTTTATACGCATTGCCCTCATATTTAGTTGGGAAAGGGGCTTAGTTTTTTTGGGTATTTTTGATCTCGGGTTTCAATCACCGCAAATTTATTTGCAAACCATTATACTTTGACTTAAGCATGAGCATAACAAGTTTGGAGCTTTGGAAAATCATCCATTATTTAAACAATGTCTAAAAGTGTCACATCTGAAAAATCCAATTGGTGCTTAAGTGGATTTCCCCACCCTCCTTTGCTGCGCTTATAAGCAAGTTAAACACAAAAATAAAAAATATTATATCAAATTCCTATTTTACTCAAATAAGGCCTAATATCCACAAAAATACAAAAATTATATTTTTGGCCACCTATTTCAATGGAATGTTCCCACTGTGCCCTGATTGTAATAAACAGATAATTAAGCAACGAAATATTAAGTTTTTTAAGTAATTACTAAGCAAACAGATGATATCCAGCACATATTATAGCTAGCAAGCAAAAGTAAACAAAAACAAAGTAATAAATAATAGTAGACCGTTATTACAAAAACTAACAAAAACAGAAACATAATTAAAAATAATTTGCCCCTCCCCCAAAAAAAAAAAAAAAAAAAAAAAAAAAAAAACTTGTCTTTTTTTATTATTATTTTTTTAAAAGTGAATAAAATTTACAGATTACTTTGAAACATCTGGGTACCTAACATATTTTAACGTCGCTGTTCATAAGACTAAAAACAATCAAATTAACGCTTAAATTCAATTAGATATTTTTTATAATTGTTAAATTGGTACAGAGTTTACTAGTCACGAGTTTCTTTAACTAATGTAAATGTATTACGCAGATAATACAACTCGCAAATCATCAATAAAAGGGTTTGCGACGTGTTTTCATGCTTGCAAACACATTTATTATGTCTTCATAACTTAATTTTCTTGCAACCTCGTTTTCAATTGATAGAATTGCTAAGGAAGACAAACGTTCATCGACCATTGTTGACCTATTTAAAGATACAACTAAATATAGCTACATGTATTTATGCATAATTAAGCAAGATTATTTATACTAGCCTATGAAACGTATTAATTATTTTTAACTTGCTGAAGCCACGTTCTGCACTTGCAACAGTAACTGGTAAAATAAGAATGGTTCGTAACGTAATAACTAGTTTGGGATAGGTTTCTTTCAACTCTTCTTTGTAGATGAAGTTTAGGAAATCATGTGCAGATTTTAGAAGAGTATTTTTTTCCTCCTTTATAACAATGACAAATTGTTTTAACTCCATTTCTAAATCCTCAGAATCTATATCATCAAGCTTTATTTGCAAACTTTTCAATATACAGACAGAGAATTTTCACTGCAAGCTTTGATAAGACTCTCGGATAGTTAAAAAAAAGTCAAAAAGCGTTGTGACAATGCTGATCTGTTCAAAACGCTTTTTTACTGATGCAATTAACATATGAATTAGTGGCAAAACGAAATCTGCTTTATACTGATGTTCAGGTTGCCGAGTGTGATCAACACACTCGTATGAATAAATTGATTTTTTTTTTCGTGAACGCACTATCGAAAAAACGCATTCAATGCCCAATAATTCTGCGATTTCTGACGCCTTAATACATGCGTCAGAAAATCCATTTTCACAATACTGATAAAGAAATGCGTTTGTTGCTTTTATTCCACTAGCTAAGATGTCGAGAGAGATTGCAGGAGACTGAAGCAGCTTACTTTATTTGCTGATTTAAAATAACACGTCAAACCAAATAATGATTGATAATAAGAAAGGCCATGTTCTAATATATTCTGTCAGCGATCGAACAGCTGTGGCTGTTGCCCCATCTCTATTTTCTAAGGCATGTTCTTCCTATCTTTCGAGTGCCTCTAAGATTTCTTTTAAATAATAGCGAAGTGGTTTAACAAAGTTTATTTTACTTTCCCATCTGGTATCTGACTGTGGTTTGATAAAAATTGCCACGCACAATTTTAAAATTTTCCATCGAGGAGGAGACAATGAAAAGAGTGTATATAACCTTGATAAAACACCAAAAAAAGAAATTATACTAATGGATGACAGTGCACTATCAACAATAACAAGATTGAGTGAATGGTTTGCACAAGGAACATATAAGGCTTTAGGATTCATTTCCAGAAACTTTGCTTGAACACTTTTTACTTTTCCTTTTATATTAACACCATTATCATAAGATTCACTTCGACAGTCTAAAATATTTAAATCCCAATCTTTTACCTTATTTAAAAATGAAAAACCCGTTTCCAGTGGTATCATTTACTGTGAGATATCCAAAGAAATTTCGGAAATTGTCGAAACCTGCTCCAGGAGTACATGTTACTGATTGCAGAATAATGCTCATTTGTTCTTTATGCAAAACGTCTGGCGTACAATCTAAAATAATGGAATAGTATTTTGCCTTTTTTACCCTAGATAGGTTTTGAATTCAATCTCCGTGACTAAAAGTCTAATCAACTCGTTCTGTGTGTCATTGTTTAAATAGTGCTCCTTGGTTCCTTTGTCCTAAATTCCTTGCATAAACTAATTGAGAACGGTGTTGTACTTAGCCAGTAATTCAAACACCCCAAGAAAGTCTCCATTGCTCTTTAAACCAATGGTTGTGTCTGAACCACGGAATGGAAGATTTCTTGCAGAAAGAAATAAGGTAATTTCCGGTATTTTTTCTAACACAGCTTTCCAAAATATCCGCCATTTATGAAGCAATCTTTGTTGTTGCTTGTCTATGGTAGCTGGATTTACTATGCCTGCCTTAACAAAATTGAGGAAAAAAAGTTAAATGAGAATAAAAAAAGTAACAAAGCAATAGATTAAAAAAAATATAAGTTAACATTTTTGTAAAGTTATCCATTGTTCAATGCACTTAAAATGTGCACAGCATGTTTCGTGTTTTTTAAGTTTTTTTGATAGGCCTTCCTAAGTGTTAATTTCTTATCGGAATGGTAAAGAAGTTATCCCAAAACGTTTGTAACAAAAATACAATACTTTATTGCTATTCAAAGAATATATAAGCAACGTCTTTTCAAAGATTTCTCTGTTCTTTATCTTGCGATCATAATAATTCAGTGAAAATTGTCTTCTTTCTAAATTGTATGGAAAATCAATTTCAATTTTTTTGAAACCCTGTTTAACAATGTCACACTTCTGTGCGTCAGAAACATTATCCAG